ACAGCACAGGATCTCTTTGTTTTCTTTTCTGTGACCTCTGTTATCTATCTGCACTGCTGAGTAGATAATTATATTGGTCAGAGGCCATACTTTAATCATGAATGCCTCCTTATGGTATGCATAAGCATCTCATTTAATGCTTTCAGTTATTATATACTTTTTCTTATAATTCCCTAGTTCATGTGAATTTCCCCTAAGAAAGAAGGTGAGATTAATCTGTAATGCTGTCTCTGTTAGGTTTCTTAATATAGTCTCTCACCATATGACAGAATATCTGTCATTGGTAAAAACAGTATCTGAAGAGACAAAATTATTAGCTCAAAGGGGTAAATTTAAATGCTTCTTAAACCCTCTAAAGCAAAATAACAAGTGTTACAATAAAACAGATGAGGAGGTAATACAGCACTTTTAAGAGTTTTGATGGAACTTCATATGATCAAACCATTGTTAGGACTGGTAAAATTATAGGCAATCCTAGCAGAGAGGGTAACACCGAGTTTGTCTAGAATCAAACTGCTGTGTCTCACCTGTCTTGTCAGTTCAAGGTACAGACTCCTCAGCGGGGGCATAAATGAACAAGTGCACTCTGTATATTGCATTTATTTGTGTGCTAACAGCATGTAGCAGTCTTTGGTCACTGCACTATCCAGGTGTCTTTTGTCATTTCTAATTATTTTTTGAACAAGACTCAAAAGGATCATGTTTAGTTCTTTGCTTCCAACTGCGGAGTGATGCCGACAGTCTTCCCTGTGGATGAATGTTAATGTGAATGTTGTACTTTGTGCAGTCAAATGAAAACAAACACGTAAATCTGATGCTTGTACTGCATTTATTCTTTTCCTATATGCTTTCTTTCCTTTTACATTTTATTTCTTAATATGTATAGCTCTGTTGCTACATTACCCACTGCATTGTGTGCTGATTATAAGTAGATTACTTCTGCAAATCTCAGAATTAAAAACTATAATGGTATTGTAAAATGGAGGACACTAGCTGTACAAACAAAAAAGGTTTCATTTCATCTTTGTTAAACATTTTAAGGATCGTAGTATTTAAAATGTTATTAAATAACAAAATTAGCAAAAATACAAACTATCCACATCAATCAGGTTAGGATTAGCATTCATTTAAAATGGGATCCTTTGTAACAATGTTTACATAAAGATAAGCCATATCATGATAAACATGTTTTAATGTTTTTACTGAATTTTACTGAGATTTCACTGAATTCCAGTCAGCTTGTCCCATTCTGTTAAATTTGGAGGCCATTATTGGAAACATAAGTTTGTTATTTTTTCTGTTGTACAACTGAATATGACTAGATTAAAAAAAATACCAAACACATTAGAGAAATTTTCATAAGAGTGTCACTAATAGAAGCCTATTTTTTGAATTCTGAGATTATCAGTCAACCTTTCAGTTATAAAATACAGTAAAAATGTTTATCTGGCCTAACTTAGAATAATTTTTATTTATACAAAAGGAATCAATTTCCATACCTGTAAATCAAGATGAAGTAAGAGATTTTATTTATGTTTCAGTAATCCTCAAAAATCCCACTGGTTTAATGGAAATGTTAGGTATTTGTATTCCTTTGGGCATTCAGCCTATGTGAATACGAATTAAGTTGCAATGAAAAATAAAGAAGAAACTGTATCAAAGTTAAATGAAATATATTAGACACTAATTTGTTTTAACAGCTAGATACTAAGGAGCACATGTTTGAAAAAAAATGAAAGCGCATTTGGATTTTAGAAATGTGTAATAGTATTTTAATCAGTGTCTAGAAATGCTTTTTTGTGTTTGTAAAGGTGATATGTATTGTAGGAATACGGCCACTGGAGACGTGCAGAAAAAAATTGGCAGTATTTTATGAAGTAGCTTTAACTAGGCTGTTTAAATAGTTTAAGTCTAAGCCTAAGTAGGTCTAAATTATTTAAACTAACGTAGTGTTTTGAAACATCCCACCATCAGCCCTCAGAAGAGAGGACCACAGCAGCAGCAAGGTGTAAAGATCGCTCGAGGCAGGTTTTAATGGCAGATTTTACTGAACTGGTCCAGGTACTTCTACCACAGCACTGCCAGTAAAAGAAAGGAAAGAAAGGATAACGTCAGGCACATTATCTTCACCTGCATGAGTTTAACTCACATTTGGTATACCTGTGTGGAGAGAGAGGGACAGAGAGGAAAGCCTTCTGCCCCCTTGTTCATTTACATGAGAAATGAGTAGTTTAGGCCGGTGTAACTTCACTGGTTTTCACAGCATGAACAGGCAGCATAATGCATTCTGAGCACCCCTGAGTGTCAGCAGTGCTAGCCACAGAGTAACACACGATGGAGTTTTAAAAACAGAATTCTGGACTGATATTTAAGTATTCTTTAAGCACATTGTTCAGAAGAGTTTGACTGAAACAAGACCAAAAAGCCTTTTCTGAAAGGAGAAGGGCAAGAAGGGTCTGTTCATCATTCACTTGCCAAAACCATAAATATAGCAGTGTTGTCTTTGCATGTCCAATACAGGCATCTGAGAATTTTTTAAACAACAAAGCAGCTCCCAAATGGTAACAAACAGTTCTTAAATATTATTATCTTTAAATATTATCTAAGTATTATTTAGAAAGTGGTAGATATCACTAATACCTGAAAAGGTATCAAATGCTCAAGTACTTAATTTGGATTCTTTTTCATGTAATTCATAAAAATACAGGCCTTAGTCTTAAATGTGACTAGGTTATCACGTATTTCAGCACAGTGAGTTTGAACTCATCTTGAAGTGAGTTTGAACCATATGCACACAAAAGAATATGTAGGGATGGTGAACCATTGACGGTGAACCTCAGCTTGCACCAAGCAGAATTTTCTGTTTATTTATTTCATTCTTATACAATTATTTATTGCAGAATGGTACAAAGTTCAGTTGCCTGTGGACATAATGTATGGAAATAATAAATATACACGTATATGAGCACAGCCATGTAAGTATTTTTGTAGGTGACAATAGCCCATTGTTTTCCTTCTTTGTTATCTCAGCAAACAGGTTCATCATAATTTCATACTTTACTTTTAAAAGTTATTTTCTAGTTTAAAAAGCACAAGAAGTTGAAAAGTAAATAGGTAATTCTGGAGATAGTGAATCTCTAGTGTCAAATTAAACCTTGGAAAATATAAAGGATGTATTCCCTAATGAAAGAACTATTTATAGAGACACAGATTAAGAAAACAGTTGACCATTCATTTTTTGATACCTGTCAATGAATACATTTTGCCGAATTAGACATTTTGAAGTGAAGAATTTCATCCCCTAACCATCCAACTGCATGTACTCTGTCATATATTTCATCAAAGGTCCAGCTATACCCCAAGAAGCATACACTCTCTAATTCTATCCTCTGTTTTCCTTTTTTGAATGTTTGTGAGATGGTGAGAGTCCATGCTACAGTTTTTTGTGAGAGTAAAATGCCCACAATGAATAAATAATTACTTATATGTGGAAAAAAAATGGTGGCATCTAGCTGCTTAGCCCTTTTGAACTAGAAACAATGCAAACAGATAAAATATGTTTCATGTATATAAAATCAGAGTATATGTAGAAAGTATTTGAATACAGTAACAGAATATGGATGGACAAGGTAAAAATGAAATTACTGTGAACTGATCAGTTAGCAATCATGGCATATGAGCCACCCAGCAAGGATTTTTTTTTTTTTTTTTTTTTTTTGGTGGGCATCATGGCAAAGATGATTTTTATGAAGTTATGTGAGGAAGGAGATTGTCCTTGCTTTGAGGATGGCTTTAACACAAGCAGATTAATTCAGCTTCATTGTAATGCAGGGGACGGGAAATATCAAGTTCAGATTTTGTAAAGTGTGTAGAACTCTGTTACATGGACAAATTTGAACAATCCTTTTTTCATTTTCCACTAGTTAGGGAAACACATGCACTTCCATTTTGCAGAAATACATGAAATGGAAACCAATCCAAGGCCAAAAGAATGAACAGTTTCCCTTCAAGCTGGTCTATGATACAGAAACTGACTGAAAAATATTCTTATTTACAGTTGTCCTGTTTTGGTTAAGATAGAGTTAATTTTCTTCCTAGTAGCTAGAATAGCTGTGTTTTAGTTTCAGGATGGGATTTGTTAGGAGAAGAATGTTGATAAAGTCCTAATGTTATTAGCTGCTGCTGGAGCCCAAGTCCATCCTGTTTGGCTGGTTCACAGCTGCATTAGGACTGGGAGAAGAGAATTGCAGTAAGTAGCAAAACCCAAAATTGGCCTTTGGCTCTGCCAGTGAGATATTCCATATCATATCAGGTCATGTTCAGTATATCAACCAGCATTGACCAGGAATCAGGGGTATTCTCTTGGGGATCACTGGGGCTCACTCTTCCAAGATTGCAGTTTCGGGAATGTCTCTGCTCTGGGATCACTGACTGGGACAGGCTGGGCTTCAGTCAGTGAGTGGTGAGCAACTGCACTGTGCATCACTCATTTGTATATTCTGTTATTACTTTTATTATCATTATAATTTTATTTTAATTACTAAATAGTTTTTATCTCAACCCGTGAATTTCCATGCCCTTTTCTTTCCAATTCTCTCCCCTACTCCCTGGGGGATGGGGAGAGTGAGAGAGCAGGCTGTGTTTGACTGCAAGCCAAACCACCACAACAATAATCAACAAGGTTCACACCGCACGGCCATCTGTTTGCACCTATCCCATTAACTATCAGCCAGTCAGTTGAAACTAAAAAAGCCAGTAATGTTACAGCTGGATACTCTCAAAAGACCCGTTCAGCTATTACTAGGAAAACCAGGCCTCCCTAACGCTCCCTGCACCGAAGCTGCTCATATTCTAGCAAATTTGTGGGAAAGTGTGTCCTTGACTCATAAAGTCCCTGGCCTGCAACCTTCTTGGAGGCTGGCAGAGTATTTGTGTGAATATCACGCACGATCTGCTCATCCAGCTCTGACACTCTTCTCTGGGTGGCTGGTGTTATCCATTGCTGTGTCTCTGGTCTTTGGAGGCAGCACAATGCCAGGTCAGTGAGTGTAGTGGATAAAACAAGCTTCTAGTCTATCTCCCGGTGTAATATAAAATCCATTTAAATCAATTTAGTATAAAATCAATGGAATGTAAAGTCCTCAAGCTGAAGACATGTCAAATATTAAACTGATAAGAAAAGATACTGTGCTTGATCATAGCTAGATGTTAGTCTGTAGTCTGTCAGTGGGAGTGTTAAGACTATCTTTTGACTTAAGTAGTCAGAAGCTGGAGTCGTGTATGTAATGCTTCCCTTTTTTGAAGTTAATTTTCAAAAACTATGAATTCTGCTTAAAGATTAGATCTTAATCTTGAGGCTATATAAGCATTGTGGAAATATTTTACATGTCTAAACAGATAGTGGAGAATCTCAAATCTGTCCTAAAATGTCCCTAAGTTGTTTTCTTCTTTTACATATATAGTTTTCTTTCAGAGTTTTGCTTCATAATCGTTTTAAGATAATAAAAGTATGAACTGGAGTTAAAAAAGGTGGTTATATCACTACTTCCAGGTCAGTACACATAGCTTGTGTGCCTCCTTTGTGTTGGCTACAAGCATTCTAGTCCTCTGATCTAGCTGAAAAGCATGATGACAGGGAACCATTTGTTCCTTGATCCTGTTCACTGTGCCTTTGGGTACCTGCCTAAGAGATGCACCCTGGAAGCTCCAGAATTGCTTTGCAAGCTGATGCTTAAAGAATTGGGGTTGAAGAAATACCTGCCAGTGCCGGCAAAAAGGCAGTGGGAAATTTAAGACTCTCCCAGAGAGCCTGTAATATCATTTTACCTTCACAGTGAGTCTGCAATATAATTTCTTTTACTTTTGGGAAGGAAATGGAGAAAAAAGTTAGTTGGAGGAAATTTCAGTGGGAACACTGAAGTTGTTCTGATGAGAAAAGTAGGGAAAAATCAAATCTGTACTAATGCAGTTGATGTTCACATTAATGCTCAGAAGCTGAGAGTGACTGAAAGAAAGGATGACTGTGTGGTTAAAGCAATGACGCCTGACTCAGGAAATCTGAGTTCATTTCCTGGCTTTGCTATCTCTTCAGCTTTGCACAAGATTTAATCTCTTGCTATTTGCTTTTTTATTTTTTTTTATTTTTCTCTAATTCCTTTACCACAGGGAAGTAATTATGCTTCAGATTGTTCTAAGAATAAATGCATTAATATGGCTGGTACATTTAAGTTCAGGCAAAAAGACACACAAAAGCTTCAGTTGTTGTTCCTTATTTTTTACAAAAGGCCTTTCTGCTGTCTATGGGGCAAATGTATTGGAGTCTTCATGCCTTGCATCTACAAAGGTGAGGAGGCACTTGTGGTGCCTGGGCTGACATCTGTAAGCAGGTCTTGCAGCCTGGCAGCGTGCCCAACTTCTAGTCGAGAGGCTGTGGCAAATGATGCGTATCACCACAGTTACAGCGTGGTGGTTTTTTGTTTCTACAAGAACATAGCTTGAAGCTACTGCACGGCTTTCTTCCTCCGGGAGGCCTGGTGAAGCAGGCAGACAGAAGTTTAGAAATATTGGTGATCAAAACTTAGAAGAGTGAAACTTTGAAAATCTGAAGTTGAAGCACAGTAATGTATGTGCTGAAATACTATGACAACACGTGTGAAGATCCCAAATCACAGGAGATGCAGAAACAGTCCCCAGACAAGCACATGGGGAGCTAGGAGAAGCATTGGGGCCATCTAACCACTGACAACCAACCTCCTGCCCCTTGCACAAGTTTTGGGTGTTCTGTCAGCACCTTCCGATTCCTGGCACGGGCTGAAAATTCGAGGGAACTTTGAAGTCCTTCTGTGAGCACCAGCACGGACAAAGCCTGTTCTCCCGCGGATCTGCACCTCGCTGCTGATGGCAAGTGTCTCTCCAGGCTCTTCACGCAGCAAGGACCTTTGTGTGGCCTCTTTCCCCTGTGACAACCCTCCGAGTCCCAGAGCCAGCACACTCGCGGGCCTGTTTCTGTAACACTTT